TTCCCACGTCTGGATATTCACCCACAAGAGTTGGAATCCTGGTCCAGAAGAGGTGTTTGCACATCCATGTTCACAGCAGCGGTGCCTGCCATAGCCAAAGGTGGAAGCAGCTCAGTGCCTGTGGACAAATGAACGGATAAGCAAAATTTGGCCTGTACATACAAAAGAATATCACTCAGCCTCAAGAAGGAAGGGAATTCCGACACCTGCTCCAACACGGATGAACCTTGAGGAAACTGTGCTAAACAAAATGTCAGTCCCAGAAAGACAAATGCTATGTGATGCTATTACAGAGCATCCCCTTCATTCAGAGTAGTCAAGTGCACAGAGACAGAGAGTGAAAAGTGGGTCTCAGGGCCGGGGACGGGGAGGGGGAGTCAGGCTTTAATGGGGGCAGAGCTCCAGTTTTGCAAGATGAAGAGTTCCAGAATAGGCCAGGACTGTTGTGGGGAGGGCGCGTGAAGGTTGATGGTAACCAGGCAGTTTCTCAGCCACCCAGGGCAGAGAGCAAAGACCCAAATATTTGGAGATGGAATGTAATTCAAAAGGAATTATACTGGCCATAAACACGCACACTTCGTGACTTCAAGGTGCATCTCCTACCTCCCTATGTCATAAGCGTAGCAGAGGCTCCTGGGCTGGTGACACCACAATTTTAGGTGTCTCGAGGTTCTCAGGAAGGCTCCATGGAAAGACAGAACCCCCTGGAGATGGATGGGTTCCTGGCCTTGCCCAGGATTTAGATTCCCAGCAAACTGTGTCCAGTGGGGCAGGAGTCCACTGGGGTTGGGGGCAGTGGGCTGAATAATGAAAATGTTTTCAAAGGACAGCCCTGGACACTTATGCACACCTCATCTTATCCAACCCTTAAGGGTACCTGGGCTGGATTCCCTGGAAGAAGAGATCCTACAGTAAACAGAAAAAGAGACCAATTAAAAAAAAGTGATACCGGGACGCCTGGGTGGCTCAGTCGGTTAAGCGTCTGCCTTCGGCTCAGGTCATGATCCCAGGGTCCTGGGATCGAGCCCCACATCAGGCTCCCTGCTCTGCGGGAAGCCTGCTTCTCCCTCTGCCTCTGTCTCTCTTTCTGTCTCTCATGAATAAATAAATAAAATCTTTAAAAAAAAAAAAAAGTGATACCCCCAAGGGATATGTAAAAGCCTATTGAAAGGAGAGAGATCTATAGAAGGAAGAAATGAATTATGAAATAGACCACATACAGGTAGTCCATTGATTTATTTAAAAAGTGCCAAGGCCACCCACAGAGAAAGAAATCGCCTTTTCAATAAATGGTGGCAGCACAGCTGAATACCCATAAAGGGAAAACAGAGTTAACCCTTACCTCACACCATGTACAAAATTAACTCAAAATGGATTGTAGGCCTTAATGTAAGAATGAAATCCCTAAAACATCTAGAAGAAAAGCATTGAAGAAAACCTTTGTGACTTCGGGTTAGGCAGAAATTTCTTACCTATTACAACAAAATCACAATCCTTGTAAATAGGGATAAATTTGACTTTATCAAAATTAAAAACCGTTGCTCTCCAAAAGGCACCATTAAGAAAACAAAAAGACAAGCCACAGGCTAAGACGAGGTATTTTCAAATTGTGTATCTGATAATAAACTTGTATCCAGAATCTATAAGGAACCTCTGTAACTCAATAGGAAGAAGACAAAGAACCCAATTAAAAATGAGTGAAGCTCTTGAAAAGACATTTCACCAAGAAGTTACACAAATAGTTAATAAGCGCAAGAAAAAATGCTTGGTATCCTTAGTCATTAGGGGATGCAAATTAAAACCACTGCGGGATCCCATTACATCTGCTAGAACAGCTATAATCCAAAGGACTGTCAGGTGGCAAGGACTCAGAGGGACGGCAACTCTCACACGCTGTCAGTACGAATGTAAAACCAGAAAACACTTGGCAGTTTCTTGAAATGTTAAGCTTACACTTACTTTATAAGCCAGCAATCTCACTCCTACCTCTCTACCCAAGAGAAATGAAAACATATGTCCACCCAAAGACTCGTACCTGAATGTTCATGACACCGTTCGTTATTCATAATAGCCCCAAGCTGGAGACAAGCCGAGTGTCCATCAGTGTCCAGATAAGCAAAATGTGATATACCCACACAGTGGAATATGACCCAATAATAGAAAGGAAAATACTAGTGATACATTAAACAGCACAGACGTAACTCAGAAGCATTATGCTAAATGAAAGAAGCTCAAAACAAAAGTCAACAACATATTGTATAATTTCATGTATAGGAAATTTCTAGAAAGCATAGAGCTTCAGAGATGGTAAGCAGATCAATAATTGTCTGACTCTGAAGTTAGGAATGGGTACAAGAAAATCTGGGGGGTGACAGAATTGTTGTAAGACCAGATAACAATGATGGGTGCAGAATGTATAAATTTACTAAAAATCATGAAACCTACACATAACAGTGGTTGAATTTTATGGCATATAAATTATACTTCAATAAAGCCGTTTTCCAAAAAAGAGTGTTCTGTATGTTACCCAGAAGCTCTACACCCAAGAATCTATCCTTACTACACCTTAGCAAAAATGTAAAATGGCTTATACATTAATCTATTTACTGTAGCATTTTTTATATAAGCAAAAGATGATAAACACTCCAAATGCCCATCAGTCGAGGACTGATTAGCTGTGGTATATTCATAAAATGGATATTCAGTACCTGTAAAAAGGCATGAAGCAGATTATGGCATATCCTGTACAACAAATTCCCAAAAATATTGTTAAGTGAGAGAAATAAAGCTGCAAAAGAGTTCGCTAGTAAAGGATTCTAAGAACGGGGGTAGTAATGTATTTTAATATGTGTTTGCATATCCTTTCAATAAAGAGACCATTGCAGTCTAGAGCGGTTTTTTAATTTGCTTCCAAAAGAACCTCTCACTGATGTCCCCTTTGGCTGGGAACAGCGGTGTGGCCGCGACCCTGTGCAATTCCATGACAATGACAGCCGCCACCAACAGGGGGAGTCTCCTCTGTCTTCTGATAGCCTGGGAGTTAAGAAGACGGGGTTCGGGGCGGAAAGTGGACCTCGGTGCCGTGCTGGCCAATGCTTATCACCTGGCTCTCCAAGAGGAAAATCCTGGTTCACAGCGTTTGCCAGTTTCCATGGTGCAAATATCCCATCAGGGCCGATATCAAGCAAATACTGTGACGTCCCTGAACCCAGCGCTGGGGAAAGCTACAAGCAGCTGTCCTGGGTGTCCAGACCAGTTCAGCCCAAGGCTGGCAACAAGCTACCATTTTTCACATCTAACTGGCAAATCACAAAGCCTGACGGCACCAAGTGTTTCATAGAAAAAGGCCCTAAAATGTGCCGGGTCTGTAAATGGGTACGACTGCTTTGGAGAGCCGCACGGCATTATCTGTCTGGTAAAGCACATATACAAGCTGCAGTCCCGAAATGTTTGCAGGCTCCCACCGGGAGCTGTGGGAACAGAGTTTTTTGCAACATTGTTGGTCAGAGCAGAAAAGTGGAAACAATTTAAATGTCCATCAGTAGGAAAAAATTATAAATGAGTCATAGAACATTCAATAGAAGAATGCCATCCAGCTCCCTCACCACTTCTGCCCCGCGAAGTCCTGGGGAATGGTCAGCCCCGAAGCGGCCTCCCTAGACACCGACCCTGCTGGAGCCTTGATCCTGGATGTCTGGCCCCTAGGACTGAAGAGAGAAATGTCCGTGGCGTCTTGGCTGCCCTGTCTGTCGTATCTTGTTACAGCAGCCAGGATGGGCCAAGACGGACGCAGAGTGCAGAGGTCACACCGCTCTGTAAGCAGACCAGCTAGTCACCAGTACCAGCCCTTGCAACGTTCTCACTTGCGGCCATGGGGCGCGATGACGGTAGCCTCTTGCAAGGCACCGGAATAGGGAGGGTCCACTATGGCCACGGCCATGACCACATCGACACCTGCAGCTGGGTTTGGGCCCAGAGCTGCCTTCTGGCTCTTAACTCAAGATAAGTCAGTTCGCCAAAACCATAAGACACTAAGGCCCAGGATATTCCTCTCATTTATCTGTTAGAGACAGGGACATAACTCCACAAAAATAGAGAAAACAGGGGCGCTTGGGTGGCTCAGTCAGTTAAATATCTGCCCTCCGCTCAGGTCACGATCCCAGGGTCCTGGGATCGAGTCCCGTGTCAGGCTCTGCTCAGCGGGGAGTCTGCTTCTCCCTCCCCCTCTCACAATCTCTGTCTCTCTCAAATAAATAAATAAAATCTTTTTAAAAAATTGAGAAAACAGGGGTGCCTGGGTGGCTCAGTCGTTAATCGTCTGCCTTCAGCTCAGGTCATGATCCCAGGGTCCTAGGATCGAGCCCCACACTGGGCTCCCTGCTCCGCGGGAAGCCTGCTTCTCCCTCTCCCACTCCCCCTGCTTGTGTTCCCTCTCTCACTGTGTCTCTCTCTGTCAAATAAATAAAATCTTAAAAAAAAAAAAAATTGAGAGGGGCGCCTGGGTGGCTCAGTTGGTTAAGCGACTGCCTTCGGCTCAGGTCATGATCCTGGAGTCCCTGGATCGAGTCCCGCGTCGGGCTCCCTGCTCGGCAGGGAGTCTGCTTCTCCCTCTGACCCTCCTCCCTCTCATGCTCTCTGTCTCTCATTCTCTCTGTCTCAAATAAATAAATAAAATCTTTAAAAAAAAAAATTGAGAAAACAATAAAGTGGTCCTACAGGAAAGCCCACCAGAGCGCCACTGTGCCCACAGAATGGGAGCAGTGGTGTAGGACAAAGAAAGGACAGTGCAGGGGATGGGCAGGTGTCAAGGCAGGACATACGTCCTGATATAAAAGAGTAAAGTGTGTTTACAGGAACACCCACTTCTTCACAGCAGAGGCGGGGGTGGGGAACAAACTGAAACCTCAGAAAGTATCCTCGGGAATCCAGTGACTGAGTCATTCAGCGAACTGCTCTGTGCTAAACGGGATGACTTCTGTCCCTTCTGTAGCCCATGAGCGCCTGCTCAGGAAGCGTGGATCTCCGCGACCACGGCCAGCAACGTCGGTGCTTCGCCTTGTGCCTGGAGTCCTGTCAGAGCACCATCCGCATTGACGCCCTCAATCCTCCCAACACATGTCCAGGTAGGTGCTCTTGTCACCCCTGCATCACGGATGGGGAAACTGAGGCTCCCCAGGGTTGAATACCTAGATCCCCCAGCTTTTAGGTGGCAGAGCTGGTTGATGAACCCAGGGAGAGTCTGCCCTGCAACCAGCACCGCCTTGTGGCAGCAGTAATCCTCAGCCTCCCAACAGAGCAACGCACACACACACACACACACACACCCCTGGACTTGTCCATACACACCCCTGGACACACACACTCCTAGACACAGATGCACGCCAGGTGACACATGGATCCCAGGAAGCAGAGGCTCCAGAAGCTTTATTACAGAGGGCTGCGTCCCAAGGGGCTCTCGACTGAGACTGTCCACACCAGGGGGGCCTCATCCTAACAAGCCTATCCAATGGAAGTTTCCAGAATACTCACCCCCACATCCTACCATACTTCCTAAAACATTTCTCGTCAAAATCACAGAAACCTGGCAAGAAAAATAAGCCTATTACTAATCTAAAGGTCCAGAGCCCTACTTCTAACGGGGACAAAAATGCCTCAGAATGGCGTGAAATGCAGCTTACTATCTCACTGGCAGTCAGAGGGAAGTTCTTGTTCACAGGTGTCTTACCAGAAAGGAGAGAAAACAGAGGAAATATTGAAACAGAATTTCAAGTCCCTCTTGAATTCTCTCCGAGTATCGTAGGTACTAAACATCTCACCCTGTCTGTGAGGACTGCGTGGCCTCCGTCTGTCTGACATGTCTGGCTTGTGCCTGTGGTGTCTCGAAGTCTCAGAAGCCCCTGAATTATTACCTCAGGGCCACGTGGGAAGCGGCGCTGAGGGAAAGTCTGAACCCCCAGCCAGCATCCTGTTCATTGATCTCGTGAGACCTACTGAAATGCCAGTGCATTTAGGAAATTAAGACACTAGAGACCTCTTCTAGTCTAGCAGATTTACATAAGTCTAAAGCATGTCTGTTGAGTGAATAAACGAGAGATGAATGAGTGAATGACAAGGTGGACTCACCTTCCAGTCGTCCAGCTCTACGTGGAAAGGAGGGACCATGCCACCAGTCCACAAAGGACAGAGCAATGAAAACACTTGCCCTGTGCAGCACCTGGGTGGCTCAGTCAGTTGGGCGTCCGACTCTTGATCTCAGGTCATGATCTCAGGGTCATGAGATCAAGCCCCGTGTTGGGTTACACACGAGGTGTGGAGCCTACTAAAAACAAAACAAAACAACCACTTGCTCTAAGTTTTCACTTCTGTCACTTAACAAAAACAACAAAACTTCCCATTGCTGAGTTTGAGCTGTGGTTTTGATATTGTAACTGTGCAAAACAGGGTCCCAGAAATGTGGATCTTGGGTACATCTCCTAAGGCGTTGATCTGGGAAAAGTGGAAAGGAAATTATTGCTTTTTCGGAGGGAAAACATCCAGGAGTTCTTACACAGAAATTGGGCACCAAGGGTCTCAGCGGGGAGGAGAGGGATCGGAGAAACAAGCCTCAGGTCTGGGGGAAAGGAAATCGGAGGCAGAGAGCAGCCTGCACGTGGACTCTGCCTGTTGGCCTTCTGGACGTGAGCTCCTAACCTTCTGTGCAGGGGCTGGGCCTCGGACAAGCCATCAGAGCTGGATCAACACGGACCAACATCAATCTGTGTATTGGCTAGTGCGTTCCATTCAGTTACATTAATTTCTCAATAATATTTGGGGCACCTGGGTGGCTTAGTCAGTTAAGTGTCTGCCTTCGGCTCAGGTCATGATCCCGGGGTCCTGGGATCGAGTCCCACATGGGGTTCCCTGCTCAGTGGGGAGTCTGCTTCTCCCTCTGCCCCTCCCCTCTGCTCTTGCACACTCCCTCTCTAATAAATAAAATCTTCAAAAAATAATAATATTGTCAAAGCATTTCTTTTCTAGTGATTTCTAGTGATTTCTAGTGATAAGTGATTCTGCCTTTGTATAAACACACACACACAACTCGTTCAAAGGTTAAAATCTGAAGTTGATAGACAAACACCCTCTCCCCTCCGTGTTCAATTCACCCAGAAGGGGCTTCCTTTGAAGGTAGAGAAGTGCAGCAGAGAGCTCTGGGTCAGCCTCTCAAATCCCCAGAGATGTCGCCATTAGCAAAGGGAGAGTTAGAGGTTGGAAATAACTGCAGGGGGTTGGCAATTCCTGAGAGAATTCAAGTATGTGCGCATTCCCCAAAGGTGAATTTGAGCTGCCCAATAAACTGAAGTTCCAGAGCTATCCAGCAAAACAGAAGACTACCAAGAGCTTGTGCTGTGAACAGAAAAGTCTGACTCTAGGGTACACAGCTTAATGGACCACTAGCGTGGACCCCCCTGATGCTCTTCTCCTCCTACCAAGTACGATGATGCCTTCCTGGGAATCTGCACCTGCCAGAAACAAAAGCCTCTTCTCGATGCTCACAAGCTAGAACATCAAGTCCTGGGTTGAATCAGCCCGGGGGCAGGGCTGCCCCAGGTGCCGCAGGCCACAGGTGCTCCTAACAGCAAGCAATAGAGCCCTCAGGTAGACGGGGCCACGTGCTGGGTGGGGTCTGTGACACCACTTCTGGGAAGTCTCAAACCTAAGCCCTTCCTCCCGAGGAGGAGCATTTTTATGATGAAACTAAGCTGCGATCTACAACCATAAGAAGCAAAAAGCGGAGCTCGAACAACACTTCTCTGATGGTAGCCCAGCACAGTTCCAAAAAGAGGCAGAGGTGTTGATTCTTCCAACATTTAGGGGAATTCTCTTCTCAGTGAAAAGGCAGGGGGAAATGTCTTTTTGTTCCTGGGATGGTTAATTTTATGGGTCAACTTGGCTAAGCTGCCGTGCCTAGTTTGTGGTCAACTGGCTGGATGAGGCCCCCCCCCACATTGTGGAAAGTAAGATGCTTTATTCAAACTACTGATATAAAGGTGAATCACATCTAAAAAATACCTTCACAGCAAGAGTCTGTGTCTTCAAATTCAGAGAGAAAATTCTGGCCTGCCTAGAATTCTATGCTTAAACTATCCATCAAGCAGAATTATATTCAGGCATGCAAGTTCTTAAAAGAAAAAAAACAAACATTTACTCCTATGCATCACTTCTCAGAAAGCTCCAGATGTAAGGTGAAGGATGTGTTAACCAACCTTCTTGTGGGAAGCGTTTCGCAACATAGACATACATCGAATTGTCACGTTGTACACCTTTCGCTTTCACAACCTTATTTGTAAATTGTATCTCAAGAAAGCTGGGGAGGGGAAAAAAAAAACAAAAATAAGGTGCCCTCTACCAAGGCGAAGGAAGAAACCAAGAAAGGGAAAGCCCTGGGATCCACGGACAGGTAAACAAAGGCGAGCCGTGGGGTTCGCTGATGTGCCGCGGGCAGCTCCTACAGCATTTCTGATGACCTCCTTGGGGCCAGGTAGTGATCTGGGGCCACGCGGTGAAGCCAGAGTTGTAAGGCTGCATGACACAGAAAGCAGGATAAGGTGTGTGGAGAAACCCACCTGCTGCTGCTTTCCCAGGTATAATTAATGAGCTCGTCTTATCATCAGGAACCCAGAGTGGGGCGCCTGGGTGGCTCAGATGGTTGAGCGTCTGCCTTCGGCCCAGGTCATGATCTCAGGGTCCTGGGATCGAGTCCCGCATCGGGCTTCCTGCTCCTTGGGCGCCTGCTTCTCCCTCTGCCCCTCTCTCTCTGTCTCTGTCTCTCATGAATAAATAAATAAAATCTTTAAAAAAAAAAAAAAGGAACCCAGAGTGGGTCCAGGCAGCAGTCAGCTGGGAACCCGCCCCGCGCAGCGCAGACGGACAGCAGAGGCTGCAGGGAGAGCAGTGTCTATGCAGGAGCTCGGCTGATGCTGCCCCAGAAGGAAACAGGCTCTTCCGTCCTCTCTGCTCGGGCAGGCACCCCGTCCAGTCCCATGGGGGTTGTTCTCGGTGAGTCACACAGCAGCATCCCCGAGGAGGGAATGTCCCAGGTCTGGGGGGGAGGGAGTGGCAGGAATCGTTCAGGTCAAGATCGTCTCTGTCTTGCACATTATGTTGCTCAATGTCCCTTGTGTGACAACCACAGAGAAAGTCCTTTTATAGTTTAAAAACCAGAAAAATGACAAATGGGCCGGCTTTATTCCCCACTAAATAATGTGATTCGGGCAATGTGCTCCCCTTATTGCCCAGACCAATACGATTTCCGGTGCCAGATTCAAAATTGAATCAGTCACTTAGTCCTTGAAGGAGCTTATTTGTTCCTTTTTGTAGCTTTGATTTATTTTTCTTTTCCCATAATCATATTGGATATGTCTTTTATTCTAAGCGGCCTCAGTATCTCTCTGGGAATCTCCACGACTGGCCCCATGAACGCCTCACCATGAACGGCTCTGGGAGCCAGTTAGTAAAATGTACAGGAAAGAGAATCATCAAGGCCTGTCTAGAAAAACAGTTTTAGGAGCCTTATTTAAGGGGAAACAGGTAGAAGGAAGAAAGAAGGATGTTCAGAGAGCATCGTGGCCACAAGCAGCAATGATGTGCTCACTCGTGAGAGATTCGAGAACCAACCAATGAATCGAGGCCATAATACGAGAAACAGGAAGAAAGAAGGGGAAAATGTGGGAAACACAATGTGCGGTGCATCTGTGTGATTCTCGGAAATAAGAATGTTTGTGGGCATCTCGGGGAAGTGGGAGCGATTGCAGATGCAGATAGGAAGCTAATTATAAATATGGATAATGTTTTGATGCAAAGAATGTAGTATTTTCAAATTACGCATATTTTTAGATTTACAACCTGAAAAATATTCTGTGGAGTCGGAGGTTTCGGTAAAGCCTTGCAAAAACAGATGACAGGCCTGCTCAGGGTCGCTGCCCTTGAATATGGAGAAGGAATGTCTGAATCTGATATCTGATGAAGAATTCTCAGATGTCTTATGCAGGGCATGAGGGGCGAGAGCCGGGATTTGCAGCCCACACCCCCTCTGCTGCATCAAACAGTAAATCCAAACTGAACAAGGCAGAACCAGGCACCTTATGAACTATCCAGGCTTCCAAATCCCAAATGAAATGCAAAGGGGCTAAATTTCAATGGCAGGGGCGCCTGGGTGGCTCAGTCGGTTAAGCGTCTGCCTTCAGCTCAGGTCATGATCCCAGGGTCCTGGCATCGAGTCCCACATCGGGCTCCCTGCTCCGCGGGGAGCCTGCTTCTCCCTCTGCCTCTGCCTCTCTCTATCTCTCATGAATAAATAAATAAAATCTTAAAAAAAAAAAAAAAAGAATCCTTGTTAGAGAGGGGCGCCTGGGTGGCTCAGTTGGTTAAGCGACTGCCTTCGGCTCAGGTCATGATCCTGGAGTCCCTGGATCGAGTCCCGCATCGGGCTCCCTGCTCGGCAGGGAGTCTGCTTCTCCCTCTCCCACTCCCCCTGCTGTGTTCCCTCTCTCGCTGTGTCTCTCTCTGTCAAATAAATAAATAAAATCTTAAAAAAAAAAAATTTCAATGGCAGATAGGGGCCATCCCTAGAGAACCACATTAGGCCTTCCTTTTTTTTTTTTTTTAAAGATTTTATTTATTTATTTGAGACAGAGAGAATGAGAGACAGAGAGCATGAGAGGGAGGAGGGTCAGAGGGAGAAGCAGACTCCCTGCCGAGCAGGGAGCCCGATGCGGGACTCGATCCTGGGACTCCAGGATCATGACCTGAGCCGAAGGCAGTCGCTTAACCAACTGAGCCACCCAGGCGCCCACATTAGGCCTTCCTTAATGAATGATGATATCATAAAGAATCAAAACTTTTGCTGACTAAATGTCAGCAAAAAAAAAAATCAGTCTGGGGGCACCTGGGCAGCTCAGGTGGTTAAGCATCCGACTCTTGATTTCGGCTCAGGTCATGATCTCAGGGTCATGAGATCGAGCCCCATATCGGGTTCTATGCTGGGGTGGACCCTGCTTGGGATTCTCTCTGTCTAGTCCCCTCTGCCCCTCCCCCGCCAAAAAACAAAGTATTAAAAGGAAAATCAGTCTGATTTAGAAGCAGGTGAGGGAACGAAGGAACTTCTTGCTTCCTAACAACTTTTTAGCTAAAGGAGGGAATGGATAAATACCTCTTCTTAGAACATATGTCCCCCATGCTCCCTCTCATTTCTGGATACATATCCTCTACCATCCCTTCATTCCTACCAGATGGTGTCCTACGTGTGGATGATAGAAATCCTGGATCTCCTGGTGCGGCTGCATTTTTCATATCACACTCAGAGTCATCACTAAGAATTTAGTGCCTGGGGCGCCTGGGTGGCTCGGTGGTTGAGCATCTGCCTTTGGCTCAGGTCATGATCTCAGGGTCCTGGGATGGAGCCCTGCATCGGGCTCCCTGCTCGGCGGAGAGCCTACTTCCCTCTCTCCCTCTGCCTGCCGCTCTGCCTACTTGTACTCTCTCTGTCAAATAAATTAAAAAATCTTAAAAAAAAAAAAAAAAGTAGTGCCTGCCTACGGCACACGGGGCCTCAACACGCACTTCCAGGCACCAGGTGCAATCCAACCTTCCCCTTCCCCCACCCAACTTCACCTGCCGGCTGATGGGGCCTCCAACCACCCAGTCTCCAGCAGGGAGCCTAGAGCTGGCACGTTAGACGTTTCTCTGTAAAGATGTGTATAAGTTCATAAATAGGACAGTGAAGATTGGAAGACCCCAGTAGGGGACAAATTCGCCAGCATAATCCTAAATGGAAATGGTTGACCTGCTCTTCCCGACTATAGGACCCAGCTGCCTGCCAGACACTGAAAGACGAATGAGTTCAAGTGCTTTTCTCATCCTCGGCAACCAGTGTCATGGCCTTGATGATTCAAGTGGGTCGGATGGTGTCCCCCATGAAGATGCGCCCAAGTCCTCAAGGACCTGTGAATCTGACCTTCCTTGGAAACAGAGTCCATGAGGGTGTAATTAAGGACCTTGGGATGAGCTTATCCTGGGTTGTGGGTGGCTCCTGTACCCATTGATGGGTGTCCTTGTAAGAGGAGGGGAGATTTGAGACATGGGGCTCCACACAGAAGAAGGTCATGTGAAGATGGGGGTGGGGGCAGAGAGTGTAGTGATGTGGACATGAGCTAAGGAAAGCCAGAGCCCCTAGAAGGTGGAAGAGGCAGGAAAGGATCCTCCACTAGAGCCCTCCTAGGGAATGTAGCCCTGCTGACACCTTGATTTTGAACCTGTGTGAGAATACGTTTCTGTTCTAAGCCACCCTGCTTCTACTTTCAGCACCCGGTAATTTATAAGAGCATCATTGTGACATGCAAAAGCAACATGCAATTAAATTGTTCAAATAATTGGGCAAACAAGACCTACTGATCAGAAAATGAGGGTGGGGCTGCCTGGACTGACCTGGCGGGCCCTGGCAGGCAGCAGGTCAGATCATCCTTCTCCTGGGTGACAGACGGGTCACCGTAAAGAGGGAGGTCTATTTGGGTGGCCACTGAGTTGTGCACAAAAGTAGGGTTCTGCCAAAGTCAGAGTTCCATACGGAAATGGCAAGAGGAGCTGGAGACAGAGTGTGGTCAACAAGTGGAAGGTGACAGCGTGTGTCCCCACCCCTGGCTGCTTCCCCAGTCTGGTCCTGCTGGGCCACCAGCCTCATCTTCTTGGGAGGTTCTCTGGCCTCAGATGCTCAGAGCCATGGGTTTGTTGCAGCCTCAGCCACGGACACTGGTCCACGCCGGCCCCTCGGAGCTCCGTGGGATCCCAGTGTAAAGAGTGACTCCCGCTGCAAGGGTTATGATGAGCCGTCCGGCTCTTCAGCTCCGCCAGCTCTGCGGATGGGTCCACGACACAATCAGAACTGCTTGCTTCCTCGAGCTGCTTCAGACAAAGCCGGCCGGTTCCACCCACGCCGCACTCGCCTGGAGCATCGCTGGCTCTACGCCACCAGGCTCAGCTCCCAGGAAACACTTCCCTCCAACCACAAAGTAACACTCGTCAAAACCTTCTGTACCCAAGGAGTCAAATGAGCGTCGGTGATGTGGCCGCTCACTCGGCGAATGTGTTCTTGGAGCGTCTGGGGGCTCTGCTGGGCTCCACAAGGGGCTCACAGAGAGTTCGAGAACTGGAACAGCAGAAGGATGTGGCTCAACCCCAAACTCCAGAGATAAAAGCACAGAATTTTTTGGATTTTGAATATTAATATAATTCATTCAGTTACTCACTGAACTATGATCGAGGGCCAGGCATGCTATTCAAAGCTGAGTCTATAGCGTGTAAGAAAACAAGCAATTTTCTGCCCTCGCCCAACACACTCAGAACCAGCAGGTGAATTAATAGTAGTAAGAATTACAAGAAGAACAGCAAAGCTCACAGCTGCTGGTCTGGGCATCGAACACCCCCGTCCCATCACGCCCACACCAAGACGGGTCGGGTTATCACTCCCGATTCACCAATAAAGAAACCGAAGCACAAAAAATTTCAGCGTCTGTGACTTCCAGAAGTGTTTTTAGTCGGCCAGCGGTTCATTTTTTTTTTTTAACATTTGGCACCATGTGGGGGATGTTACGACTTCTGATTACTCTCTTTCTTCTTGGACATTTCGTGGCCAGATCTGCCATTTCCTAGGGGGAAAGTTCACGAGACGTTGAAAGTTAAACACAGGCCATGAGAGAAGACTCAGGCATTCATTCCCTCTCGGGCCGCTGATAATAAATGAACAATTTTTTTTTAATCAGAAATCTTGCCAAGGTCACAGAACTCGTAAGTGGCAGAGCTGAGCCTCGACCCCATTCAGTATGCTCCACAGCTTGTCCTCTTGACCATGACATTTGCTAAATTAATCACATAAAGTCGGTTTGCCACGGCCAGAAGTCTGGCTCACCGCAATTAGCAAGGATAGATTTAAAGGTGCTGGGTTCCTTCCCTGCACCTGGCTCGGAGATTGAGCTCTAATGCAGGTTGATACAGTCTTTGAATTATTAATGAATGCCCTTTGTTTCTTTTTTCTTATTGGGGTGAAATCCACACCACGTAAAATGAACTTTTCTAGACTGTACAGTTCGGTGGCATTTGGTACATTCACAGTGGGGTCTAGCCATCACCTCCACCTGATTCCATGCCCATGCTTTTACCATGCCCAATACTTCCCTCGACCCTGCTGATAGTGCTTTGATAAACGAATGGCAGAGCAGAAATGCAGAAAGAGAGCGAGCCATAACTACGCTCTGAACATGGCCCCCAAAATTCGTATGTTGAAATCCTAACCGCCAAAGGTGATGGTGTCAGGAGGTGGGGCCTTTTGGAGGTGCCTCGGTCGTGAAGGTGGCGCTTCTTACAAAATGGGATTCACGAATGGGGTTTGTGTTCTCATAAAGGAGGCCCCACAGAGCTCCCTGCGCCCTCCACCCTGTGAGGACACAGCAAGACCGCTGCCATCTATGAGCCAGGAAGGCCTTCACCAGAACACAACCGTGCTGGCGGCTTGACGTTGGACTTCCAGCCTGCAGGATGGTGAGAATCAAATGTCTGTTGTTTATAAGCTCCCCTCCCCCCCAGTCTGTACCAGGATAGCCTCAACAGACTGAGTGTCAAAAGTCTATCCCCAGGGGCGCCTAGGTGGCTCAGATGGTCGGGCGTCTGCCTTCGGCTCAGGTCATGATCTCAGGGTCCTGGGATCAAGCCCCGCATCGGGCTCCTGGCTTAGCGGGGAGTCTGCTTTTCCCTCTCCCTCTCCCTCTGCCTCTCCCCCTGCTTGTGCTCTCTCTCTCTCTCTCTCTCTCTGTATCTCTCTGTCTCAAATGAATAAAAAAAATCTTAAAAAAGTCTATGCCCAGAGGCCTAGAATGTTCTTTCCTATGTAGATGAGATTGGAGAAGCAAGATGAATAGGATAAGAAGGCATCCCGCCTATGAGACCAAAAAGGCTTTCCGGCTGTGGGGAGAGGGAGAGAGGAAGAGGGCATGAAGGGTGAGGAACAGAACCTGGAGGAACCTCGCGGACCAGAAAATGTCCATGACGGCCAGCTGCTGGGAGCTGCGTGGAGGCCGAGGCCATGCCCAAGGCCACTAGTCTGTCCTGGGCAGAAGGCTTCTGAGGAACAGGTCACTAGTTGTCCTTCCTTTGGAAAGCAGTAACACTCTGCCGCCTTGCCCCCACCCCCATTTTTAAAAACCTTTTGCCGAGGCATCACCTACGTGTGGAAGTGCACAGATGATAAGCATAAAGCTCGGTGTCTTTTCACAACCCAAATACAGCCACATACTCAGATTAAGGAGGAGAACATGACCAGAGCCCCAAAATCCCCCTGGGCCCCCTTCTAGTCAACTGTCCCCCTCTCTCTCGACTCCAACAGCACAGATGAGTTGGGGCTGGTTTTGTCCTTTGTATACAAGCAATCACACAGGGTGGATCATCCCGCCTGCCTCCATTCACTGAACGTTACATTTGTGAGATGAGTCCGCTTGTGGCGGTGATTCCTTCATTTTCACGGCCCTGTAGCCTTCCGAGGTGGGACTGTGCACAACGCATTCACCCGTCACCCCCCCAGCAGGCAGGCAGTTTCGGGCTTGGGGCCTCCATGCATTTCACTGGAGTGTATGCCTCAGCTGGGATTTCCTGGGCCAGAGGACATAAACAGGTTCAGCTTGAGTAGCTACTGCCCCACCGTTTTCTAAAGGAAGTCTACTGAAATTCACAGGGAAGCGCAGAGGGCCAGGAAGGGACAGGGCAATGCTGGGGAAGGGGAGAGAAAATCAGGAGGAGCAAGTTGGAGGGTAAGACTCTACTATGGGACTTATTATAAAGCCACACTAACCAAGATGATATGGAAATCACTCAGGGGGACAAGCAGAGGTTGAGAAGCCTCTCAGAGGAAAAGCAAAAGCCTTAAGCTGGGAATTTTCATCTCACTAGGAAATGAAAATGCCTGCAACATTAAAAAATATTTGAAAGGGTATCCAAGGACTCTCATGAAGGTGGCTGGGTGGAGGGGCACCTGAATGCCCAGCTGTGGTGTGTAGCACAGCACCCCCACCCCCCCCCGCCGCCCCCATGTAAGGGGAGGAATGGGGCTGGAACCCAGCCAGCACTAGGCTTGCTGAACTGGGCCCCCTGGGACTGGGTCGGCCCCAGGTGTCTTTCCCCCAACATTTTATCATGAAGTGTTTCAAACGAGCAGCAAAGTTGAAGGAATTTTACAGTGAACACCCATCTAGCCAACACCTGGATTCCACCATGAACACTCAACTATACTTACTTTATCAGGTATCTATCCATCACTTCACCCAACCACCCTTATTTTTTTTTTAATGCATTCCAAAGAAATTGCAAACATCAATACACCTTTTCCTAAATACATTGGCATGTGTATCATTATCTAGAGTCCAAGTCTGTTTACTGTCCTTTACGTAAAATTTGCATACAATGACATGCACAGATTTTAAATGCATGTTCATTGAGTTTGGACAAAAGCATACCCTGTGTAACCCAACCCCCATCAATATGTAGAACATTGATATTTTTAAATGAACGTGAAGTTACCTGTGGTTCTGGATAGAAGATTCTAAAAGCTTGAGCTGCCAGGAGTCCCTGATCAGGGAGGGCTTCATCTCTGGAAACTGTGACCTCAGGATAATTATTATGTTTGAAATATATATATTTTTCTAAGATTTTATTTATTAGAGAACATGCACAAGCAGGGGGAGGGACAGAGGGAGAGAGAGAACTTCAAGCAGATTCCCCACTGAGTGCAGAGCCCGATAGGGGGCTTGATATCATGACCTGAGCCAAAACCAAGAGTTGGATGCTCAACTGACCCGAGCCAGCCAGGCGCTATTTTGACTTAAATCTTAATTTGCCAAGCAGAGCCCAAGTCTGATTCTGGGTTTCCCACAGGACCAATGTGGATCCTGCTTAGTGTCCAGTGAACATTTAGATAAGCTGAGGAGGTCATGGCAAAGGGAAATAAAGTGAGGATGGGCCCCTCTCCTCATAGGAGAAACGTACTTTCTAGAAAACCTCTTTTAAAAAAGCCAAGGATGTGACATGGTCTGGGTAAAGAAGGGTCCCTTCTCCCTGGAAAACGTTCCCGCAAACTGCTCCATGGTAAAATCTCGGGCTCTGAGGGCAGACCTCCTGGATTCAGATCCTGGCTCCCCCCAGAACCCGCTGGGAGCCAGGCCAGTCACCTTTGGACCCAAAGTCCCGTGTCCCCCCCCCAACGGCTTATAATAGTGTTGACTCCGTGGAGGTGTTTGTGTCTGTTTTTGTTGATGGTGCAGTCATTTACGGAGGTGAGATTCACATCACCTAAAGTGAACCACTGTCAGGTGAACCATTCAGGGGCATCTAGTGCTCTCCCAGGGTTGGGCCCCCACCTCCGGCGTGTGATGGGTTGGGACCGCAGGGGCCCTGCAGACACAGGAGCGGCGCTCCTCAGCCGGACCTGCTCAAACTGCGTCACGGCAAGGGTAACTCCCACGGCCGCGTCTGGGCCAGCTTTCCCTCCATCTGACAGATGGGCCGGTCGTCAGGTTCCAAGAAGCAGGAGCAGGGACCTCATGTGCACATGGAGGGGTGGAGCATTCCAGAACCTTGACGCTGAGGAAGCGGCAGGGGCCCTGACCAGAAACAGCCGCGTCCCCAGCAGGAGGGCCTCCATCCGCAGAGCAGCCTCTGGCCTTGTCTCGGGCTGGACTTCCACTTCATTTCTCCTCTCCATGTACACTGCTCTTCAGATCAATTTCCTTATGTTTGTAGTTAATTTGGAGCTTAATTAGCTTGAGTTTTAGAGGGCGTGCAACCACTCCAAAGGCTCTCTCGGGACAAAACCACGTAAGGCTCAACCTAACCAAACCAAGTCATTCACAGCGGCCGCCCACACAGGCTCCCTTGCCCAGGGAAGGCAGCGGGCAGGTGAGGCTTCACGTGGCAGGGCAAGAGGCCGGGGGCACCCCAGAAGGCCCCGTCCCCTCAAAACCTGAGAGCTACAAGGGTGTTGTTCTGTGCATGGATTCGGTGAGTCTGGAGTAGGGCAGGGCACAGCAGGGACAGAAGGATCTGGGGCTCCGTGGTGTGGGGTCCTCGACTGGAGGCCAGGGGCTGGAATCCCCTGAGGCGGGTCTTGGCTCGTGCATCTGGTGGTTGGTCCATTGGCTCAGACCTCACCAGGCCGCCAGGGCACCCATACTCAGCATCCCTGTGTGGTCTCTGTGCAGCTGCTTGGGCCTGCTCACAGCATGGCATGGCGGCGCATCCGAGAGCAAGTGTCATGCAAGAACAAGGCAGAAGTGCGCCATATATTTGCAACCTTGCTTCAGAAGCCACATAGCATCCCTTCTGCCAGACTGTGTTGCCTGAGGCTGTCTCGAAGGGCTGCTCAGTTTCAGAAAGTGAGGGGGACCTTGATGAAGGGAGGCAAGACTCTAGAAGAACACGTGGGACTTGAGATATCACTGTGGCCATCTTTGGACTCAGCCACCCCAGCGTCCACTGAAGGGACACCTTGCCCCACCTCAGCAGGCCCAAGGCAGGTGCCCTGTCTCTCAGCAGAGCTGCACCCCAGCGAGGAGCCTGGCAGTGGTTCCAGAAAGCCCAGCCTACATCAGTCAGTGCCCTGAAGGAGGAGCTAACTCTTGAAGTGGCACTGAGATGTGGAGGTGTGTCGGTTGCAGCAGCTAGCCGGGCTTACGCTGAGCAACAAAACCATCAAGCCAAAGAAGATGGGAACTCTAAGCTGCGAAGATATACGCACGCCTGTGTTTATCACAGCACTATCTGCATTAGCCATGTATCCACTGACAGATGAATGGATACAGAAGATGTGGTGTATACGCACAATGGAATATTCTTCAGCCATAAAAACAAGAGTGAGATCTTGCCATTGGCAACAACATGGATGGAGCCAGAAGGATAATGCTAAGGGAAATAAGTCAGAGGCAGACAAAGACCATACGATCTCACTCATATGTGGAATTTAAGAAACAAAACAAACGAACAAAGAAAGAGACAAAAAACAGACTCTTAAATGCAGAGGGCAAACTGGCTGTTGCCAGCGCGTGGGGAGATGGGCGAAGCAGATAAAGGAGATTAAAAGTACACTTACTGCGATGAGCACCGGGTAATGCATAGAAATGTGGAATCACTATATTGTACACCTGAAACTAATATAACACTGCATGTTAACTATACTTCAATAAAAAAATAAATAAAAATAAAACCATCTAAAAATGGAAGCCACACCTGCCTTTCTCACCAAGTTCTAGAAAAAGGACACAGCCCTCAAGATTCATCATCCAAGATACTCCTTCAATGCTCATCGGAACCAACATGTTCTTGGCTCAGTTTCTCCATTTACAAGGCACTTTCGCTGTCTTCTCCCTTAATTGGGGTAACCAAACCCAACCGAGACCTGCCCATTTCACCTCCCAAAGACCTCCAGTCCACCGCCTTCCCTCTACCTCCGCACCGTGTGTGAGCCCGGGCTGTACTCCTCCTCTCCCTCCTGGCCGTCTGCACTGGGCTCTGCACGCACATCCTGCTCCCAGTCCATCCTTCTGGCCACCCTCTTACAACCGTCCATGGCTTCTGCTTTTCTTAAGACCAAGCCCCAAATTCTAACCATGCCTACCGGGCCCCACCTGCTCTGAGCAGTGCCACGCTCTCCAGCTTTCCCCGGCCTCCCCATCCCTATGCTCCAGTCCCCACACAGGCTCCTTGGTGACACATGCTCATGAGCCACGTGTGGCTGTCGGCCCCTGGAATGGACATCCTTGCCCCCACATTGCTCTCTCTGTTTCTTCTTCACTCCGTGGGCAGCTCTTCATCAGGGTCACACTCTATTCTGCTTGTCCCCCTGAAGTGGATTTTAATCTGTGTATGTGTTCCTATTTTTAGTACACATTATTCTTCTAAGCCACCAAAAACTGTGCATGGACTGAATATCAGCTTTCTTCCTTTGAATGGCTGAGTATGGCTTATGGCTGGACAGCAGGATCATGCCTTTTTAATCATCTATTATAGAATCTGAGGTCTTCAGTTCTGTCTCTCATAAACTCACAGAGAACATCTTATTCTGTTATATTTTATTTATTAGCAGCTAAATACTTTTGTCAAAAGAAATGTCCCTGTGGATACAATCAGAGACACCCCCCCCCCCCCAGTAAAAAGTCAGAGGCAGTCAGAGCTGCTATGATTGAAGTGGGCAAGGACAGGAAACACTCCCACCTGCCCCCTTCACTCTCCACCCTGTGCTGGGGGGGCCCCAGGGCACCCCAGCTCCAAGGAACAAGGTTTGAGAACCAATGATGCAAGTCATGACAACACATAAAGCTTCTTTATGAATTCCAGCATCGTTTGCATATAAAATGTATATTAAAGTCTGGAGAGAGTGCTTAGGCTCTTCAAAGTTATTAAAAGATCATTTTAGAAGTGAAAATCGCCTAAGAGATAACTTCAGAGAATTTTAATTTGTCTGTGAGTTAAAGGCAGCTGAGGTATAGTGAAATAGAATGTTGGTTAAAGTCAGAGAACCTGGCGAGGAATTCTAACTCCAGGTACAGAAAACGCATAGCTTCACGAAGCTTCTGTTAGCCATGTTTCCTGCAAAACGGCAGGAAGATTTCCTTACCAGTTGCCTTGATAGCTAAACGAGACAGAAACTGGGAACACACCCAAGGTTAGAAAGAATGCACAAGAAACTTCCCCTTAAAAAAATAATTGGACAGGGGCGCCTGGGTGGCTCAGTGGGTTAAGCGTCTGCCTTTGGCTCAGGTCATGATCCCGGGGTCCTGGGATCGAGCCTCCCATCGGGCTCCCTACTCGGTGGGAAGCCTGCTTCTCCCTCTGCCTCTGCCTCTCTCTCTCTCTCTCTCTCTCTCTGACTCTCATGAATAAATAAAACATTTAAAATATATATATATTAAAAAAAATAAACACTTAAGAGTAAGGCGCCTGGGTGGCTCAGTCGTTGAGCGTCTGCCTTCAGCTCAGGTCATGATCCCAGGGTCCTGGGATCGAGCCCCGCATCAGGCTCCCTGCTCCGCGGGAGGCCTGCTTCTCCCTCTCCCACTCCCCCTGCTTGTGTTCTCTCTCCCTCTCTCTGTCAAATAAATAAAATCTTTAAAAAAAAAAAAAAAGGGTTGGGGAGCCTGGGTGGCTCAGTCGTTAAGCGTCTGCCTTCGGCTCAGGTCATGATCCCAGGGTCCTGGGATCAAGTCCCACATCGGGCTCCTTACTCTGAGGGGAGCCTGCTTCTCCCTCTCCAACCCCACTTGTGCTCTCTCTCACTATCTCTGTCTCTCTCTCTCAAATAAATAAATAAAATCTTTAAAAAAAAAAAAAGGGTCGGGGAGCCTGGGTGGCTCAGTCGTTAAGCGTCTGCCTTAGGCTCAGGTCATGATCCTGGAGTCCCGGGATCGAGTCCCGCATCGGGCTCCGTGCTCGGCAGGGAGTCTGCTTCTCCCTCTGACCCTCCCCCCTCTCATGTACTCGCTCTCTCTCATTCTCTCTCTCAAATAAATGAATAAAATCTTTAAAAAAAAAAGGGGGGGGGGATTAGGACCCTGAGATCTGAATTCCTCCATGTCTCCTCTACTCCCCTCCTGGGCCGGTACCTCCATTCTGTGCACACCTGCTTCCTGGCCCCACTCAGTTGAATAAACAACTAACCCATCCCAAAGACATCTACTGGATTTGGTCATCAAGAAGTCATTCCCGGCCTTGAGCAGGACATCTCCAGATGTGATGGGGGCGTAAGACAGGTTGTGGGTGATTGAGGAGGGGGTAGAAAGGAGGAGGTGGAGATGGAGCTTTGGGGGATGATGGAATGTTCTAGACCTCCATTGCGGGGGAGGGTCCACGATGATATCTGTTTGTCAAAATTCATAGAATTGCACACTAACAAAGGCAAATTTCACTGGATGTAAATTACACCTCAGTGAAACTGACTTCAGTGTAAACATACAAAATAAATCACTCTTACTCAACAATGATCCCTTCCCTCTCCAAACGACTCCGTTCCCTTCCACGCATCACATCTCAGACAGAAAAGATGATGCACATAAATATTTCTCTCCCGCTCCATTTTCCACTTTCTCCGTTCACCAGTCTTCTTCCCATTTTCCCTTCAGTGCAGACTTTCCTCTGTTCCCTTAATAGTCCCTGTTCTATAATTAGTAGCTCTGATAATTCTTTTATCATGTATGTTTTATTTCTAAATTATTCATTGCCGTGGCTGTCCCCTAATGCCTTAATTCTCAATTCCCTGATCACCATTTTTACAATCGTGCAGTATTAATAATATCTTCTATTTCAGTAGTGCCTTTTTTTTTTCTTTTTGTCTGATGAACAAAATAGTACTTCGCAGGCATTTTATATCCCTGTGAGGTAGTTAGGGAAGGGAGATCCTGCAGCTGGAAATACACGGGCACAAAACATGCAACGTGTGCTGTTCCCAGGAGATGGCACCGAACGTTGGCCAAAGCTCACTTCCGAGCTCTGTATCCCAAGAAAGGTGCGGGCCCCCCACCCCACGGGGCCCTCCCCCACTCCCTCCACACCTGGAGCAATCTAGAGTCAGGTCAAGCCCAGCCTCTGGGTGGGGGCCCATACTGGGCGCCTCCCTTTACAAGGTGGAATACAGAATCTGCCCCATCCTGACCCTGACCCAGAGACTCACTGCAGGCTGGTGTGGGAGACGCAGTGCTCACCTGGAGAGAATCGTGGAACTTCTCTAAGTCCAGAGACTAAATCCCCTGACTCTGATTTTAATAAGCACACAGCACAGCACACCCAGGGCTGCAGGTCCCAAGCCAAGACCCACCGCACCGGGGTGCCCTCCAGCATTGTTTCCCTGGGGTCCCTGGGTCCAAGCCCTTCTCTCAGCAAATGCGGGACCTCTGGGTTGTTGGACTCTCCCCAGTATTCCTCCTCTGGCAGTACTCTGCCACAGAACCCACCTTGTCCCAACAAAGCTGGTGCAGACAGTGTGTCTTCATAACAGTGCAGGGCATGTCACATACAGACCATACACATGGCAGTTAAGACGTGCAAAGCGCCTCGCAGCGGACTTGACCAACCATGACTAGTAGCAGTGACCCTAAGAGGCACCCGGCCTCCGCTCATCACATGCACCCGCTGTTACGGATGCAGGGAGGTGCAGGTCAAAGGTCACTCTGGGAATAAATGGATGAGCTGAGTTTGGACCACAGACCACGCCCCTTCTCCTGCATTTCTCTTCTGTAAATTGTATATATACGAGCCATGGGTGGGGATTGGCAGAGGGTCCTTCCAAATCTTTGATTCCCTAGTGTCACGGTCATAAGCAGGTTGTGTTTTCCAAAAGAGACCATGGCCCTATCTGCCATCCCACCACTCTTTTAAATATATTAACTTGAGGGGCGCCTGGGTGGCTCAGTCATTAAGCGTCTGGCTTCGGCTCAGGTCATGATCCCAGGGTCCTGGGATCGAGCCCCGCATCGCGTTCCCTGCTCAGCAGGAGGCCTGCTTCTCCCTCTCCCACTCCCCCTGCTTGTGTTCCCTATCTTGATCTGTCAAATAAATAAATAAAATCTTTAAAAAAAATAAAAAATAAAAAAATAAAAATAAATAAAAATATTAACTTGACACTCCTTCCGTGGAGTGATAGGACCTGTGTCCCCTCCCCTTGAATCCGGGCAGCTTGGGAAGACAAGACTTCATTCACTCATTCATTTACTTTATATGTATTTATTGAGCACCACCTATGTGCCCAGCATCCTCACTCAGACTTTAAAGACTTAAGACTCCACATTTGCATTTCAGGAGAGAAACTGCTCCCTCACAAGCTGCTCCTTGGTTTGCTTGGAGGAAGAAGACCATGAGGACCCAAGGTGGTGTCTCTGCAAGGTACCAGACCGACCCAGTACCAAATCTATGCCCCGCACCCCCCCCCATTCCCTGGGAAGCTGTGCAGTGTGTGGAGCAGGGAGGAAACGTCCCACGTTAGACTCCCCGTCTGACTGTAGAAGATCCAGCGTCACTCTTAGAAGCTTACATGTAGCCCGGAGCAATCAGCATGACCACCCATCCCCTCCCTTGTTTGTGCGTTTGTATTTAATGCACACCAGTCCCCTCACTTTGTAACACCAGCTTCCCCTTAAATCATATCCCAATACCGTAAAGCGTCAGGCTGACAGGGAGCTTGGGAAATGCACTGCTTTGATTAATTGTGTTTCTGGTTGACAGACTTGAGCTGAAGCCATTCTGCTCTGATTCTTGGTGTTGTAAAGCTTTCTACTCTCCAGACTCGGTAAGTGTCAGCTAATAAACATAATTGGATCCCACTTTGATGACAAGCCTTTTTGGACACTGGAGAACCTCTATTTCCATGTGAGGTAGGATTTCCTTGGCTCTGGGTTACAACCAGCCGCAGGCGGGATTTGCATACTAGGGATGCAGGAGTCATGAGTGTAGGCTCCAGAAAGGACCACAGCCAGGAACCAGAGAACTTGAAGGAACCCAGGCATCGGTCTGCCTTCTCGGCATGCCTGGTCACTTGGGAGATGTCCTGTGCCCGAGGTACACAGGGCTTCTCTCCCTGGGGTCCGGAGAACCATGCTCAACTCCAGCCAACCTGGAGTCTCTGGTCAGAAATCAGCTCCAGAGCAAAGCCTGCATTTGCGGCAGGTGCTGAACAAGCATGGCGGCTCCCACTGGGACCATCAGTCGGGTGTTGGAGGCACAGTCTGGGGAGAAGTGCAGTTTCCAAAACCAGAAGCCTGAGTAGGTAAGATCGCAGGTTTCCACTGCACTTTCAAGATCTGTGGTTGACGTACATCCCCAGACCTGGAAACACAATTCTAACTAAGCCCCCGATGTCGTGTGTTCTCTATGTCCTGTGTAATCGATGATCACAGTGGGTTGTCTTAGTCCCAGAGGCAGTGCTGAGATGTCGATATGAGTACAAGTGGTTGATCCGGGACGTGTGTGACGCGGGGTCTCAGATCACTTTGACACGTTCAGAGTTTTGTCCGGAGACGGAAGGCAAACGCCGACAAAGTTGTATTCTATGCAATAGGAGAGACAACTTGGTGTCTGTCGGCATGCGCAAACCCCAGGTAATCTATTTTCAAGTTTTAGGGCAGCACATCACTGACTGTTACCTTCTTTGAAAAATGCAAAACTTGTAGATTAGAGGAAATACTGGAATTCGTTTTCCATGGCGGTTTCTGTGTGTGTGTGTGTGTGTGTTTACTGTTTTTACCTAAAGGTTAGAGTTTCAGAGACGCTTGATGCATCGTGTGCAACAGCGCCCCCTCGTGGTCGGTATGTTGTATCCTGTGTTTGGCGTGTTCTGAGCTACACTGCAGGGAAGGAGTCCCTCTCATGGGTCAATTCTGCTCCCCCAGGGAAGGAGTCCCTCTCATGGGTCAATTCTGCTCCCCCAGGGAAGGAGTCCCTCTCATGGGTCAATTCTGCTCCTCTCCTCCTGCCTGCACTTTCTTCTCCCAACACCTCATTTATCAAACCCGGGCTAGCTGCTGTAACAAACCAGCCCCAAATGTGCTGGGGCTTAAAGCAGTAAGAATGTACTTCTCGTTAGTGGACCAGACCAAGGCCGGGGTGTTCCTGATGGGCTGGGGGCTCTGCTCCACCCAGGCATTCCAAGCCCCAGCCTCCCCGGGAGCCTCGCTGCTGTGGATGGGTCTGGGTCTCCCAGGCAGACGTCCCCGGCTGCCCACATGGAAGATCGTGAGGGAGGGGATACAGGGCCGGCAGGCGGGCTGTACGTCTGAGCACAGTGGGGACACTCGGTGGCGGGCAAACAGGCCTGACAAAGAGAGAAGCACACATTGGCAGTGGCTTTCGGCCCAAGCTATCCATCCGAGGAGCCACCCTCCTTCTGCAAGGGGGACAAATTCCCCTTCCAGCAGCGCTATGCCCTCCAAAAGAAAGCCTCCTTTCCATGGAATTATGAGGCAAGGTGCCCCCACCCAGCATCGGAGGCTCTCACAGCCTGATTTGGGCTCCCCCCTTCTCCGCAAGTGCCTTATGCTCTAGTCACCGCAGGTGATCCCTTATGCCCCCAAACTCCCTGCACTTCCCAGCCTCAGGGCCTTGGCTCATGCTATTCCTCCACCATAAATGCCTGTCCCTTCTTTGTCTAGTTGGGAAAATCGTATGCATCCTCTAAGACCTAGTGCAAACATTACCTCATTTCTGGAAGATTCCCTGACACCCACCTCCCCAGCAGCATTGACGTTTCCCCCAGCGGTGTCCCTCTAGTACTTTGTCACCTGTGTGGGTATCCATTTCTGCCTGCACTTTGGGCCCCGAGGGCTGGGTCCATACATAAGCAAGGCATGTGTTCAATACATTATTTTTTAATGAGGAAATAAATGGATGAACACGTCCAACCCGTTTTGACTCCTGCCCGGGGAAGGACTCCGCACATGTCACCACCCCCTGCCCAGGCCCAACATCCTTCGCTACAAAGACGAAGAACTCTCCGTGAGTTGTAGAATTGACAGGAATCAGGCAACGGCTCTTTATTTCCTTCTCAGAGGGAAATTTCTCATTCTCCTGGATGGCTACTCGTACATAATGCAAAATAATCACCTCTTCTCAGCCTAAAAACAGCTCTTCTTGAATCTAGCTGGCAGATGTCTCAAATGGAAGGCTCCAGTGCAGCTGAACGTGCAGAGCCGGAGAGTCAGGGAGCCCTGGCACCCCCCACCCCACCGCCTTGCTCACACGGAGCCCGGCGAGCCCTGCAATGTCCGAGGGAGGGAAGCGCCGGGCTCCGGGCCCGACTCCAGAGAAGCCGCAACACCCTCCCATCTGCCTCCTCCTGCCTGCTTGCCCACCCACTGCAATCACACTGCTCTGTGTTTGCCTAGCATGGCACGGTTTTCCCAAACACTTCCATTCCCGTCTCTCGTGGGGTCCTTACCACCCACCCGCAAGGGCACAACACGGGCCCGGTTATCCACCCACCCCACCCCCCCAGCCGGCTGTCCGGAGCTTACTGGAGCAGGAGTGCCTCGGGGGCCGCCTCTGCGCCGTGGCAGGAACCCGAGATGAGCCGCGGTCCCTGCGTGGGACACCCGCTCGGAAAAGCCCCGTGCGAATCAAGGCTGCTGACATCTGTCAATTTGAGAAAGGCCTCTCCAGCAGAGGGGGCAGCCCGCATCCTGCTGGGGAGAATGAAAATTGGCTCATCCTTCTAAAGAGCAGCGTGCTGATGCCTGCCGGATTTGGAAACTCTGAGGCTCATTGGAAATCAATGAGTCAGGACGCAGGCTTCTAATTCCGGTCCTGCCACTGACGGGCCGTGTGACCTTGTGCAAAGCCTCAGGTCACTCTGGGAGGCCCTGTAAGAAGAAGATAAGGGTAGACCTCCGGGGGTTTTCAGCCCGTAGGCTCTCAAAGTTCATGACATCCTAAATCAAAAAGAGCCGCATTTCCCAGAGTGCAGCTATCGTACCAACACATTTGTAACGAGGCACTGGCTTCCCACCTAGTTCTATCTGGTGCCACCAGGTAAGAGGTTCTGCTTCTAGATCAGACAGCATCTGAACCGAAGAGCAGAGGCATCCGGAGCAGGACCCCTGCAGTCAGGAAGGTCTGGGTTCACACCCACCCTCACGCCACCACTGAGTGTGACCCTGGGCCTTCGGCTTCAGTTTGCTTCCCTGTAAAACAAGTCTACAAAACGGGGCTTCTGATAGTCCGCACAGTAGGGCAGACGGCATCGCGGTGAAGGCTAATTGAGATGACACAGCGCCTGCATGTAGGAAGTGCCCAGCAAACACACCTAATATTCTGATCATTCATATTGAACAAAAATGATAAAGACAGTTCCTTCAAAGTTAGTTGATTTAGGCACAGATGCCCATATATAGGTAGGTAGGTAAGTAGGTAGGCAGGCAGGCAGACAGACAGATGTAGATAGATACTGAAGATTTCTTGAGTTAATGAAGAGACTAGCTTAGAACAATGTAACAGAGGGCGCCTGGGTGGCTCAGTTGGTTAAGCAGCTGCCTTCAGCTCAGGTCATGATCCTGGAGTCCCGGGATCGAGTCCTGCATTGGGCTCCCTGCTCGGCGGGGAATCTGCTTCTCCCTCTGACCCTCCCCGCTCTCATGTGCTCTCTCTCATTCTCTCTCTCTCAAATAAGTAAATAAAATCTTTAAAAAAAAAAAAAAAAAAAGAACAACGTAACAGAAAGACCTGACATTTTGAATTGTCTCAGCCCCACAACAGGTTAAGCTGCTGCCCCCACCCCCAGCCCTGATCCCTGGGACACCAGCTTCCCTCCAAGCAAGTTCTAGATGCAACCCCCTTCCCCTCCCCCCACTCGCCCAGCCCTCCTGCCATATTCTACCACCTTCACCATTGCTTGGCCACCAGTGTGTGGGGTGCCAGCCCCTTGGGCAGGGCCTGCGGTAAACTCCATCCAGCCTTTCAACCCCATAGTTCCATAGAAACCTTGTCCGATGGGATTTTCACTCCAGCACAAAGAAGATGGGAGTTATTTTATCTCACAATCTGATGAGCAGCTTGGGATGGTTTTTTGGTTTTTTTCCTCCTTGTCAGTGTCAAGACTAGTGATCACAAGTTTCTATGCCTGTAGCAGCAGTTACCATAAGTAAGTGAAGACTCGGAGAAGGAATCTGGCACTAACATTAGCATGATATTTCCATTTTGCTACAGCCATTAACAGAGGCTTTGGGCTTGGGGGACAATATGGTATGGTGGAAACTGAGGCTAAGTGGAGACACATGCAGAACAGTCTCTGTGTTATAATTTGGGAGTGAGGGCCCAATTTCTCTACTTTCTCTGATTTCTCAGATTTTTCCAGATTTTAGACAAAATCTGCCAAATTTTAAAGTATCGGCTCAATTTTGTTTCCTATGGGGTCAAATAAATCTGCAGGCCAGATTCAAGCCCTGGGCCATCATTTTGTGAGCTTTCATTGGGCCACCTCTTCCCCGTCACCTCCAGTGTGTGTGGACAGGAGTGAAGAGTGGCAGGGTCACCATGTGTGGTTGTCCAGGGTGTGCACTGCCCAAGGGTACCACACCTAAAAGGCATCTCAGGCATTCAAGGTCTGTACTATGAATTTCAACAGTTTTCCAGCAGAGGGCAGTCACATGTCATGCTCTAACAAAATCAGCTTTTATCACGAACATTTTCGTGTCTTAAGGCAGGGGTCTCCTTTTTCTAATTCCCACAAAGATGTTATAAGAACCAGTGGCAATCCTGAGGGTGGGGAATTTTTTTTTTAAGATTTTATTTATTTAGGGGCA